CAACGACGAGGGTCTGAGGTTCGACATCCTCGCGGAGGCGCATGAGGCGCCCTCCAGCGGCCACTTGGACCGCGAGAAGACCTTTCTGTCGGTCTCTCAGTCCTTCTGGTGGACCCACATGTACAAGTGGGTCGCCCGGTACGTCAAGACATGTGAAACATGTCAGCGGGTCAAACCCGCAGGGCACTCTTCATTCTCCACTACAGAGCCTGCCCGTACCGGCTGGTTGTTGGAAGTCGATGAGTCTTGACTTCATCTTTGGGCTTCCCGCCGACGGACACGGCAACACCGGAATTTTGGTGTTCGTGTGTCGGCTGATCATGATGGTACATCTTGCTCCAGTTCCCGTCACTGTTACGGGCGAACAAACCGCAAGGTTGTTCGTCGATGGCGTGTTCCGCTATCACGGTCTCCCCGAGACGATTGTCTCGGACCGAGACCCACGGTTCACTGCTGCGTTTTGGAAAACGCTGTTCCCTTTACTGGGAACTCGTCTGCAGATGTCCACTGCGGATCATCCGCAGACAAACGGCCAAACAGAGCGCGTCAATCGAGTGCTCGAGGACACTCTGCGCAGTGTGTGCGCGGCAGCACCACGTACGTGGTCGACGCAGCTTCCAGTTGTTGAGTTCGCGCTCAACAACGCGGTGCACGCGTGCACGGGGTTCACGCCGTTCTACTTGAGCGGCTTCCGCCACCCCAGAGTGCCTCTCACTCTTCGAGGAGACACTGACTCCTCTATTCTAAGTGGGGGAGAGGCTCGGAAAGCCCTTTCCTCCCAGGTCTCGGATGTGAGACCAGTTTCGCTGCGGAAACAGGTGGAATCCTTTATGGATACCAAGCTGAGCATTGTCAGCAGGGTCCGCGATGCCATGGCTGCGGCCCAACATAAACAAAATGAGTACTCAGACAAACATGGAAGAGGAAACTCAAGTATATTTGAGGTTGGGGACTTAGTGTTGCTAGACACGAGGAACCTACCTCTTGACACTATCAGCTCTGTCGGCAGCAACAAACTGAAGCACCGCTTCATCGGACCTATTGCAGTCGTGGCCAGACATGGTGCGTCGTACACCATCGACCTTCCAAAGTCAATGACGACGCACCCGACGTTCTATGTCGGACGTCTTAAGCGGTACTTTGACCCGCAGGGGGTTGCTGACTCGCAGTCCCCCCTTGACCCAGCTCCTCGAAGCGAGGGCCGGTCACAGTCGTCGACGAGGGCGTCGGAGCAGGCACCCAAGCCTCGGTCGGGACGGCAAGGCTGCGGTCAAGACCGTACGCAGGAGAGGCTCCATACGAACGGACCCCGGCGCCATACGCCGAGTACGCTGAGTACGCCGGGTACGCACCATACGCGTACGTCTGGGAGTGTGCCGCAGGCGGCTCCGGACGTGGCAACAAAGCCTCGATCCGTCGGATCATTCGAAAGGCCTCGTCTAGATCGGACGAAGAGGCCCGGCGATCCACCCGCAGGTGCAGGCTCGCGACCTCTCGCTCCACCAGGTCCAGGCGACCCGCAAGACGAGCGAGCTCGCCCTGATTCCCGGCCTGGGCGGCAGCATTACCGCCAGTCCCAAGGCCAAGTGCAATCTCAAGCACGAGGACACGTTGACGGAGGCGGTCAACCTCAGGGTCTTGTGTCGGACCCGCAGTCGGAGCACTCGGACGAGAGTGGCTCTCGGGAGGCGCCGAGTACTCGTACTCGTACGAGGGCACCTCCGCCCCTGCTTGACCGGAATGGAGAAGTCGACTTCCACGTGGAGCGGATCCTCCAGGAGCAACGGTGTCGCGGTAAGCGACAGCTCCTCGTGAAGTGGAGGGGTTATGCCCACTCCGAGAACTCGTGGGAGCCGATTGAACGGCTCCTGATTGACTGCCCGAAGGCTGTCGCAATCTGGGAACAGAAGCGGCGGCAGCTTCATAAGTAGTCCGGGGCTTCTTGCCCGAACGGGGTACGGACGATGAATACATACCGTACCCGCGCTCATCGTGAGCGCTAGAAGCCGCGCGCTTCAGGATGTCCCTTGGCAGCATACGCTTGCTGATCAAGTGGGCAAACCTCACACGAAGATCACGCTGGTCCAGGATGTGGGACAGCTGCTGATCTTCATGGAGTTCCCATAACTCCGTGGGTGAGTACTTGAGAGTTTCCACCCACGCCCAGAACATGTCCTCACAAGAACTCCACATGGGACAGTTCTCGGGCATAACCCAGGGGTATCCCCAAACAGGATAGAGACCACCCTGGGTCTCGGGCTTTTTACGACAAGTCGTGAAGTCCTTAAGGGGAATGCGGTGTGGCGCGAGAAGCACACACCGAGCAGCCTCCAAGTTGTCGACGAACAACTGTTCTTTCTGAACAAGGGCTCGTTCATAGACGCCCCTCGAAGTGTGGCCGCCCACAAGGCCACGAGGAGCAACGAGGACCTCTAAGAAGAGGTCAGCCTCAGAGCTCTCCTCGGGAGGCCAATACCCTCTTGAGTTGATGGCAGCTCCCTGGCTGACGGGTGCCGCCACCGAACCCCCACGCACACGCTGGGCAGCTTGGAATTCCTCCTGCTGCTGGTCGAGGTCATTCGAGACCTCCCGGGGCTCAACGATAGCACCCTCCTCCTCCTCTTCCTCCTTCTCCTCCTCTTCATCCGAGGAGTCGAAGATACTCTGATAGGAGCGTCGAGTCTCCTTCTCCTCGCGGAGTGGAGACTTAGAGGCGGTACGCTTCTTTGAGGGCTTGGCGCGTTCGGCTTCAGAGGCCTTAGCACGCGCAAGACCCTCGGCAAGCGAGAGACGTTTGCGAGGATTCTCTTCCTCCTCGCCACCGGCTTTGGGAGTGCCCTTAGCCTTGACGGCCGGACTCTCAGAGCGCACAGAGGTCCTGGGACTGTGATCACCGTGATTACTAGCGGGCGACTGCACGCTGTCATCTTTGTGCTCACTGGGCACTGGGCTGTTCCCTCCCACAGAGCCCGCAGGAGCATCATGAGTGCTCTCGGACTCGGCATCGTCCTCACTGCCAGAGTTGAGCTCACTTTCCACGAACCGAGGGTTCGGACAATTGTCTGAGGCCGAGGGCGACGGACTGCGGCGCTTGCTTGCTCGCTTGCCCACAGCCGCGTCACCCGAGGAACCGATCGCCTCGGAGGCCACCTGAGTAGCCTCCTTGAGTGCAGAGCCTTTGCCGTGAGGCTTAGTGCTCTTGGCTTGCGCCTTACCGGCAGCAGCTTTGGAGCGTGTCTTAGCACCGCTCTTTGCAGTGCCACGAGGCATGATAACGGTCAAAGTGGGGACCTAGACGAAGAGCGCACAGGTTGCTGCTCGAGGCTCTAACTGTGAAGTGAGCCTCCGCCGCGCTCGCGCGGCCAAGTCGATGGTTTTCGACTTTGAGAATGAGAGTTTGTGACGAACACCTCTTCATTCTGATTTATCGGTAAACCGAACCTAAGTGGGGGAGGATGTAACAGGGTACGTAGCCCTAAGTGTACCCTGGTTACATGAAGTGTGACACTTCACACTTCAGGAGTAGACACGTCATACTCCGGGATATTTGGTACAAGGTACCAAGGTCGTTCAAAGCCAACCATTGGTCAAACGACATTGCATTTCTATAGGTAACTTATAGTTTGTATTAAACCCAAACTTAACCTACCTATAAATATACTCAGTTTACAATCTACCTTATTTAGGTCACTTCGCTCTCTTTAAATATAGAGGGGACCTGTGAGCTGCCGTTCACTGAGAGTTTGTATACACTCGGAAGATAACTTCCTCTAGCGCAAGGTGCTGTGTGACCCCGTCACAGCACAGCACTTTTTTTAAAAAAATATTAACGTGCTCACGCGAATCATTTTAGCGTCTTTATCCTTCGAGAAGTTTTTGAGATAGTCCTTGCCTGAAATTGAGATAGGTGCAAATTGCTCCGCACACGTATCAGTGCGTGGAGTAAATACACCCTGTAGCACTGAAGTTCAATCACTTGACGCCGATCGCTTCAACCCATCAAAGTTTTGTGGAGTGCAAATACTGCACCCCGTTTTCGCGGGGGTGGACCATATAGGATTTCCAAAACAATTATTTTTTAACATACAAATCATTGCTCATTTAGATTCAGGATCATTACACCCGAAAGTCTATCAAAGCTTCGAGGTCGCGAAAATGGGGTGCAGTACTGTAACACTAAGATGCGTGGTTGCAGCTCATACATTTAAAGGACATTTTAGGGCATCTAGCTGATAACTTTGTCAGCCTGACTCTACGAGCTCTTCCGAGAAAAAGACTTTTGCTACGGGGTTACGTCTTGTAGTAAGTATGTACCCATTCTGGAGTAGAAGAATTAGGCCATATTATCAGAATCTATGCCTATCCGCTTATGGTTGAATACCGCGATTTACTCGTATATGTCAAGCTATTTCAAACAGAAAATACGTCGAGAACTTGTCCCAGCTGGCTGACCAGTATTAATAAAGAACTACTAAATTAATAGGAATGTGACGAAATGAAGCTGGTACAGCATTGTGCTCTGAGCAAAACTACACGCAATATTTTAATGCTGATACATTACCCGGGCCATTAATAATGCGTGTAGTCTCGCTCAAAGCACGATTCCCGCCGCAGCGGATCAAATCATTTTCCAATTTACTTTATTCAAACCCAAGTTTCACCTGCACTGAAGAGCTCACATGCTAAAGTCGTGGTTTACCGTCGTGGTCTGCACGACACTGTGCTGCGCGGTCGCGTTGGCAGATGACTACGATGAACGCGCTGATGCCATCATGGACACGTTCTCCGAGGATGACATCATTGGACAAATGACTCAACTCCACATCGACATGGTTCTTACGGAAGACCTGCAGGTCGATGAAGACAAGGTTCGCGAGTATGGAAAACTGCGTGTGGGGTCGTACATGTCAAGTCCATTCAACACGGGCCCTAGGAATGGCACGTACATGTGGAAGGTGGACGACAGGCGCAAACGCATCACAAGGATCCAAGAAATTTCGATGGAGGAGAACGGCGGTCACCCGATTGTGTATGGTGTTGATTCTGTCCACGGTGCCAATTGGGTCAAAGGTGCCGTGCTGTTCGGCCAGCAGATTAACGGCGGTGCGTCCTTCAACCGGGACCTGGTGTACGAAATGGGCCGCATTACGGGCCGCGACTCGGAAGCGGCCGGGATGCCGTGGGTCTTCGGGCCAATTCTCGGTATTTCACGCAGCCCGCTGTGGGCGCGCACTTTTGAGACGTTCGGCGAGGACCCGTACTTGAGCTCGGTTCTAGGCGATGCCATCATTCGTGGCCTCCAGAGCAACAACAACACTGCTGCATGCATGAAACACTGGATCGCGTACACGAAGGCCCCCACAGGTCACGACAAAGAGGGGGCACAGCTGTCGGACTATGACTTACTAAACTACTTCCTGCCACCATTTAAAGCTGCAGCGGAAGCTGGAGCGATTAGCGCAATGGAGAATTACATTTCGGTCAACGGTATTCCGACCATTGCGAATGGTAAACTCATGAAGACGCTGCTGCGTCACTTCGCAATTCCCACCGGCACGCCGACCAGGATTTTCTCAGACCCTCTTCGCTTTACAGCCTTCGATCCCCCTTGGACTCCCCTTGGGGTCCATCATGCCGAGACCAGCCCATTCACCTGGCGGGACGCCACAGCGCCCCCCAGACCCCGGCGACGGGCACCCATCAGCGGGCCGGGCCGTCCGCCTAGGCTCCAGGAGCCCTGCTACCCTCAAGCCACCGGTAGGACGGGACCCGAATGTGACGACACCATCGGACGCGCATGTCGGTCCCACTTCCCACCAGGCTCGTCGAGCAGACCGCCCTCCTCCCCTCGGGACCACTCGGTCCTATGCTGAGGCGGTAGCTACTACCTCATCGGCCCCAACTCGACAGCCCCCCGCACGACGGTCCCTTCAGCTCCCATGGCCCCCAGCGATTAAAGAGGCCCTCGCCAAGACACTGGAGAAGGACTGGACAGAAGACCAGTTCTCCTGTCTCTCTGACACCCAAGCCAACTTACGCTCCGTGGCCCTCCGGAGCGCCAAGGTATGCAAGCCTGCCATGCTCAGGCAACGCTCACCGGAGGAGAACGAGGCCCTGATGGCATATTTGAGGCGGGAGTTGGAGCTCCATCATCCCCCCAATTTCTTGAAGAAAACGATGCCGGTCCTCGAACGAGCAATGGTGGAACAGTATCACGAGCGACACATTGAGGCAACCCTTACTGCGACAGTCCCGCCCCAAGTACGACTACGGAAATCCATGACGCACGCATACTTACTAGAGGAGCTATCTCGAGCTAATTCAGACGCTCAGCATGGTACCCAAATGATGGAATGTATGGCAAAGGACCTTAAAATGCTGCAATTTGATGGCAATCATACCCTCCAATTCGTCTTTCATACGCAACGCATAGCCGATCGTTACGCGGGGGCGACTCTACGTTTCCAACGTGTGATCCTGGAACTGGAAGAACAAGGAAATTCCAATGCTGGATCCCTAACGGGCTCTCAGCTACGGCGATTCTACTCGGTGCGAATCCTCGACGCGGAAGGAATTGGCCTGGCCACTTTGGTCCAAGCCCTCTCTCGGGTGGCCGGAGTGTCGGTCCTTGATGCAAAGTGCCCACGGACGGGAGACCGAGTCACGGTTGACAACCGACACTACCTTTTGCGTTTTGCCCAAGCCGAATGCCCACTCGCCTTACAAGGAGTCACTCGGGTGGAGATTGGGTCTTCCACCGCGGTAATTCACCACCACCTCATCCATCATCGGCTACCTTGTGCACGGTGTTTCAATCCCAAGCATTCGACCGGGTTCTGCAAAGTCAACCCAGCCCACCTTGAGGCCAGCCGCACCCGAGGCTACCGGAAATTCGCCGGTAACGTGAGAGTTTTTGAGGTAGGCCAGGCAGCGATGTATCGGCACACTGACCCAGCCAGTTTTGACCTCTTCTGGTCCACCATGTCTAGAGGGTTGTCGGCAGCGATGGACCAGGCAGGAGAGGATCCAAATACACTGCTAGTACCGGTCACATCAGTCAACGTGCAGCGTCCCAGGCGGAGTGCACCTGGCAAGGGGTTCTCACCTCTCCCGATTCCTCCTCCCACGGAGGCTAGGACTGATGGAGATTACACAATTGTGAGACGTCGTACACGCCCGGTTGACCGACCTGAGATGGGTGGAGAGGCGACGCCTGTAAACAGGGAAGAATCGCGGGCACCCTCGGCGTCGGAGGGGCCCAACGTAGGCCACGCCGATCCGGCTGAAGACGAGGACATGGCGGAGATGGATATGCACGCCTCGGAAGGACCGGCTTGTACGTACGGACGCTTCGAGGCACTCATGGATGAAGACATGAAGTCGGAGGCAGATAGCTCGGACGGGGACGACGAGGGCAAGGATTCAGACAGTAACAACGATGATGCAGCCTACGCGTTTCCTGACGACGGGAACACGGAGGAAGTGGACGTCATCATGATGGATGAGACGCAGAGCCTTAATGCTTTATCTCCTCGGGGTCAACGAATAGTGGAGACCCTCTCCCTAGCGTCTGACGTAGCGATAGGTATGGCGGAGGCCACAAACGGGACCGAAGGAAAGGCGAGCAGCTCTCTGGACAGCGAAGGGAACCTCACCTTGAGCTACATAGGGTCTTCAGCCCCCACGCATTCTCAGGATACAGCCCCGACACCAGGGTCTGATTTCCCCTACTCGCTTGCCTCAACTTCCTCTGATCTTAGATCGGATGAAATAGCCCAGCCCACGCCGCCTCTCGGTCAGACCTCCAAGCTCGCGACACTGGAGACCGTGGAACCAGAACCGGAAGTGGAGTACGTGACAACGATCGCAGCGGCCCGGAACCCCACGCAGGCGGCTTTTTGGTTGTCATGGTTTGGTGGAAAGGAAGTGTCAGTGCCGGACGCCGGACAGTGCGCCATCCTGGCGTTCTACGCAACTGTGACCAACCATGATGCCGGATCTCTGAAACGGTCCCCGGCCGTGACAAAAAATGTGAATTCACACAAAAAGGCCATTTATAGTTTAATGCTGGCAAATTTACGGACCGACGTTCTTCTCGGCCTCATCGATCCGACTCAGGAGTTGGCGCGCCTGTACCCTGCATGCCCACCCCCAGATTCACGGGAACTAGCCACGGCCCTCCTGTTCCAGCACCTGTTGATTGAGCGGAACCGCTCGGTCGCTCGCAGAGTTCCCTGTGCCCACTGGACCACCTCCAATGTTCTCCGCGCATACGCGCAGTACCTCCGTCAGCCGTTACTGGTGTTGGACGTGGACGCAAATGGTGATGCACACATGCAAGTCTACAGCTACTGCCATCATGCGATGCCAGAGGAGAGGGAGGGGACCGCATCGACCCATGAGTCTGGCGTGTGCACAGTCATGACGGACGCCGAGGCATCAGAGTACCTACAGGCGTGCGGCCGTTTGCACGTGCTACCGTCTTTGATGCTTCTTAAACATCATGAGCGCCACTTCTATGGAGTCCAGCACGGGGAGTTTTTTCTCCGTTGGCAGGCAGAAGGAGATCCGACCTACGGAGCGGAAATTACCGCTCCGTTCGATTGGATCTCATCTTGTCTCTCGACAGCACCAAATGTAGAGGTCATACGGACCCAGGACCCCTCCTGTCATGAAGCCCCCTTCACAGTATCCCTTGACAAACAGCCTATCGACCTCAGAAACGATTGTGATGAAGTCAACACTATCCTTCTCACTTGCCTTACGATGCGACAGCGACTGGACGTTGTGCATCTTCGGCGAGGAATGAGAATTCTAGATGCAGACAGTTATGATGGGAAACATACGGAGGACATCATGTTTGAGGAAGAACAGCTGGTATACCTGGCTGCTGGAATCGACCCATACGCGGCGGGGACTTCAGAAGTAACCAGTGTGGCGGAGTGGGTGGCGCCACCGAGGACATGACCACCGGCTCGGCGACGGCTTGCAGACGAAGGGTACTGGGACTTGCTTGCGGCGGATACTTTGGATGGGCTCATGCCGGCCCAAGCCATCAAACTCCAGTCGGCTAAACACGCAAACAACGGTGCCTACGAGCAATGGTGGGAGCGTGCCCGCGCAGGTTTTGCGATCGCCGATCATCTCGGCCAAGTCCCACCCTTTGCGGATGTGATAGCACATTATGTTGGTGATGAAGAGGTGGTTCGTGAGCATTTTGCAATCCTACCATACCCAGAACTCGCAGCGAAGCAGCTTCCCCGAAAGGTGATCGAGTACTGGGGTCGACTCGAGGTGTATCGCTCCCAACGGGACTTTCTGCGCCGGATAGTTGCTGATTCGCCTCTTATGGACACACCGAAGGAATACTGCTCAGCGTGGCTTCAGACTGGGGATTCGATCGACGGCACGGATCGCATGGAGTTAATGGCAGACCATAACCGGTGGGCTCGCCTCGCGCACTGGCTTCCAGCGTCCTTTTCGAGAGCTCGACCACAAGGGATCTCTCTATCCAACTGGCGGCTGCTCCACGTATTGCCTTATCTTCATCGACATTGGAAGAGCACCGCAATGGGGAGGGTGGCATCCAGCTCCCTACGACTATGGGTCCCCACCTACCCAGTGCTTGTCATCATCTGTGACGAGATCGCGGGGGGTAATTGGGGAGCGGTAGCGCAACTTCCCACTGGATTGACGCAGGATGAACGGCTGGAGGCTAGCGTGAGCCCAGCCGCTCTCCCCCGCCGTAAATAAAGGAGCCCTAGGCTCCTTAGCGCCTGATGACAACCCCGTGCGGCATCAGGCGGGACTGCCTCGAGGGAGGCATTGCAGGGACAGGGTGAATGATACTCGACAGAGTACCCCTCTTCCCCACCGCAGGCAGAGGCCCCCGACCCGGCCAGGGCAGCGGTCCTTGGGAGATTTTTTCCAGACTCTACCCCCAGAGCTTGTTGCCACCTCAGTCCGGCGTCAGTTTAGAACAGATCGGCGTCGCACGGTGCGCGCTCGTCAACGGTTGGAAAAGGCTAGAATGGATCGTTCCAACAGCAGTGGGCCCGGGGATCTTGGTGCCCGTGACTTGGACACAAGCTGCTTCGTGTCCCACAATGTGAATGGCTTCGGAAATGGCGCGGCAGACAGAGATGCTTGGTTCAGATCACTCCGGGGCTCGCTTCCTCAAGGACGTATAGAAATTCAGTTGCTACAGGAGACCCATGTCAACCCGCAGGAGATCTATCGGTACGAACGCCACCATGCTGCCGGGTGGGGTTTTCGTACGGGACCAGGCACATGTGCTTATTCGTTTTGGGCACCGTCGGAAGACTCGAAAGGGGGAGTAGCCATTCTTGTCATCCCGTACGGTGCATTCAAGGACGTGATACCTGCCTTTGAGCAACACTGGAGCCCCCACTTCATGGCGGTCCAAGGCACCCTGCACGGTCAGAAACTGCTCCTACTCAATGTGTACGCCCCACACCCAACAGCGCAGCGAGAGAGCTTCTTCCGATCTTTACTCGAGG